TTTGATACGAAAAGAAAATAAGATGGAATGGAAAGATATTCCACTCCGGCCGCCAAAGAAAATTCGCCCACTTTTGGGCTGAAAGTGGAGAGAGAAATGGAAAACTTGAGTGGTGTCTGATCAATTTATTAATATGCCCTTTAAAACTTGTAAATCCATCCATGTGTTTCACAATTTGATTGGTACTTCAGGAAAAAAACTAGCCACAGGCAGACATTGTGGGGACTACAAGTGGGTTAGCTGTTCATTGTTGTGAGTTTTTACAATATACATTTTTTTTTTTTTTTTTTCATTTTCATACATTGAATATATTTCTATTTCTACCGCATGATTTGATACAATAAAAATGATTTTATATTTTTCTAATGTATTCATATTTTTTTTTTGATTCCTCTTATTTTTTATGCAATAAAAAAATATTTTTTTATTAATGAGGGTATAATGATAAATAAAATTTATGTGTTTTCTTTCCTTTCATTTTTTCTCTGATACTAAATAATAAAAAATTAATTTATCTAAGTTTTCATTCATCATATCAAATAAAAAAGAGAAAAATTAATTTTTTTTCCCTTTAAAAATGAAAATTCTATCCCTCGTATTTCACTATCTTACATTTCTTCTACCGAAGGAAGCATAAGAGTTCAGTACACACGTGAAAGGAAAGTCTATGGAACCCACTGCCCAGATAGCCTAAATAAATAAATAAATACTGTTGCTCTTTGGATCGGTTATAGGTTATGAATCACGAATACTTCGTTAAAGGTTGACGTACCCGTATTTGATATTGTATCGCATACAATGCTCGTCGAATATTTGATGATACGTATCGGATACGCATCATCCGTATCCGATAATTAATAAAATATGTGGATACTTCGCGGATACTTCTAAACATGGTGTAAGATGTATAATTTTTAATTTTAAGCTATAACCCTTTTTTGGAGTTCACATACAATATAAAATATCAACAAAATTCCATCTGATTTTAAAAACACGAGTGTTTTTTAAGTATTATCTATTATTATATGTTAAGATAATATAGAAAAAATGAATTACTTACACTATACTTTTAAAAATAAATACTTGTAAAACCAATTAGTTAAATGTTATTATAATTCCTTTAATTTGTCATGCTCATTTTATGAACAGATCATAATGAGATGCTATTATAATATTTTCATGATAAAATTTTTTAATTTTACTTACTAATGTTAAAGAATTATTGAAAAATTATAATTTCTAAGTCGTTAAATAAAAATATATTTTATTATAGACATATCTTGACCGTACCTGTATCTTATTTTTTTAAGTTTTACAGTATCATTATATTTGTATCATGTCGTATCCGTGTCACGTATTTATATCCATGGATCCTAGGTTATATGTAAAACTGAAAACACTGGGTACACAGCCAATGCAATCTAAAACTGGAAACTCATCGATTAAACTATGATTTAATTTAATGCTACCTGCCTGCCTGCCTGGAATCAATAATGTCGCAGTACGCAGGCGGATGCAACAACAGTGTTCATGTACTGTTAAGACCACATTTGAGCCTTCGAAATTATAGTGGTCCTTTTGTATAATTCCTCACAATTTTCCCATCAATTAAAAACAGACAAAAGGTGGGCCAGCACCGACACAAAGGCGTGCACAAGCTCGTCCTTCAATCTCGTGGGCCAACTTCTAATCAACTGTTGAAATGGGCTAGGCTTTATTTTCTTTAATAGTGTAGTCATCCATCACATGATTGCCGTAGTACCATGGGACTTAGGAACACACATGCATTTACTCTGTTGTCAACAATGTCCCCATTCTCAGACATGCAGATGCAGCTATCTAATTTTCGGAATAATATATATTTTTTGGATCTAATTTTTAATTTATTTTTTTATTATTGAATTGATCGTATATATTCCTATATTGATGGACGTCTTGTCATGATAAATAGATAATAATAATGATGTTCTCTCAGTATTCGACAACAATAAAGAATTGGGCTTATAACTAGTATTCTAATATCTACGGACCGACCGACGATACTGGATAATATGTCAAGCTACAATTAGGTTTAACAAGTTTTGTGGGATTAGCAAAATTTGTGTAACTAACATTTTTATTGTCGCATAATATGTTTTGTTTATATATCATTGTAATTATGTAATATATAATTACATGAAGTTAACTTTTATTAAGGATATATAAAAGTTTACTTACTATGCAAACATAGAGTTGGGCTCGAAAGCAAAAAAACAATAGCTTTTGCACTTGTTGGAGTTATTAAGGTATAAAATTTTGTTTTTAAGCTTAACGAAAAATTCAAATATACTTGTAAATGAAGATATGCAAACATATGTCTAGCAAGCGAACTCCAAAGATTGTTAGTTTGCTTGATCATGGTTATGTTTGATGTTCCAATTTTACCGCATGCTAAAAAAAATTCATGGTCAAGTTTAAGACATGAATTCCATCCATTGAACTCGCTTAATGGTTCTTATATCTTTTATCGTCAGAGTAAGTTAGACATATAAATTAATGTATATAAAAAATCACCAAAACGATTATGTTAATTTAGAGTTACATTTAAAGATGATATAAAGTATGTAACTAAAAGATAAATAGGGGAATGAGAAAATAAATATTAGTCTAAGTAATCAATTATAAATAGCATTGACATTGCACTGGACATTCAAGTTGCAGCATAAGTTTAGGAAATCAGTAGAGATTTGTCATGCCCACTTGAGTCTCTCTCTCTCTCTCTCTCTCTCTCTCACACGAACCACATAAGTTGCAAACGTATAGACAAACAAAATAACTTGGAGAAAGGGAGTTAATTCGTTTATTTAACTCAGCATCATCATCTACCACTCATTTAACTTCAAAAAAGTAATTTCATGAGTTAAAAAACGTAAAAAGCTCAAAAAGAAGAAGCATGACACTTAAAAAACAACAATACTACGCCTACCCTGGAGTCTTGCATAACCGAAACCAATAGGGAAATTTTCAGTCACGTCCTTTCTTGTTTGTCATATCTTCAAAGACATTCCCTCTATTTTTTGAATTTTAATTGACACCCCTATCTAATTAAAGGTCTTAACTAGATATAATTTTATTAAATTACCCATGATATATTTTAGTAAAAGCTTCATTCACACCCCCTCTAGATAGACATATCCCTATATATTTTATGATTTTTTTTACGTATTAAAATTTGGACTGATTAAAATTTGATTCGAGCTAATTAAAATTCGTTTTTAATTTTCTCGAATCAAATTTTAATCAACTCATTGAATTTAAATCTGCTCGAATTTTGATACGTAAAAAAATATAAATTTTAATTGACTCAAATTTTATTACGTAAAAAAATTAACTTTAATCGAATTTTAATAAGTAAAAAAATATAAATTTAAATCGACTCAAATTGAATTTTAATCGGCGCTAACAACTAAGGTTGAGCTCAAATCGACTTCAATTTTAATACGTAAATTTTTTTAATAGGCTTGAATTTTAATACATAAAACAAAATTTAATCAGTTTGAATTTTAATATGTAAAAAAATAAATTTTAATTGACTTGAATTTTAATTAGCCCGAATTTATGTAGAAAGATTGTTTGGAGTTTATATAAGGATACTTTTCATATTTTAGTTTTTTTTTTTTTGGTTAGAAATGGTGGTATAATGACAAGGAGTGTTAGTAATGTTTAAATATAAATTAGAAAATGTGTTAGCGATGTTTTGGATAATAAAAGGGATATCTTTGAAAAAAAAGAGTAAACTAAATTTCTCAAAACAATATTAAAGCACAACAAAAAGTGTATTTAATATTTCTAGGATGCTATGTCTATTCTTTGCTTCCCAATGTCTTTTTGTGATAAGTTAGATAGGTATGTACGCAATTTTTGGTGGGGCAATGGAGGGGATACGAGGAGTATTTGCTAGAAAAAATGGGTGACTATGATTGAGCCCAAGATGCGTGGGGGAATGGGATTTCGGGATTTCTCCTCCTTTAATCAAGCTCTCCTTGCTAAACAGGGGTGGTGGATCATTACATATCCAGATTCTTTTTGGATCAAATTCGTTAAGTCCATATATTTCCCGGAGTGTGGTTTCATGGAGGCAAAAATAGGAGCTCGACGTTCTTGGGTCTGGCGTGGTCTTTTAAAGGGGCGAGAATTGCTTCATAAAAGGTTGATGTGGCAAGTTATGGAGGGTGATGCGATTAATATCTGGGATCACAGGTGGATACCTCTTTTACCTCAGGCAGTTATTTCCTCTCCCACACCTCTTTCTTGCAACCTCCATCCAGTTAGCCAGCTCATTATCCGGCCAATCAATGAGTGGAATTCTGCACTCCTCAAGGAATTATTTACTGATGATGAATGTCGTGCTATTATGTCTATCCCTCTTCCGAAGTTTTATGGGGTTGATACTAGGATTTGGCAACCTTGTCCCAATGGGGACTTCACGGTTAAATTGGGGTACTCATTGGCAACCGGTCTCGCGTCTCCCTGTCTGGATGCTGGCTCTTCCTTTTCTCCTCATCCGAAGGTATGGCATGTCATTTGACATATGAAGACCCTCCCCAAAATTAGGCATTTTTGGTGGCAAGTTTGTACTAACGCCTTGACTTCCCGCGATAAGTTGTATAGAAGAAATTGTGGAAATTTCCCTTGGTGTCCGATTTGCAAGGTCAAGATCGAAACCATTGAACATATTTTATTTGGTTGGGAATGGTCAAAGAAGGTTTGGTTTCGTTCAGTTTTTGGTTTTGGATTTGATGAAGATTATTTTTGTTCTGCTATGCAATGGGTCTCTATAGTTTTGGATGCCATCGGTGATACCAATAGTTCGCTTGTGATTATGGGCTATATTGCGACTATTGCATGGGCAATCTGGAAGGGGCTAAACCATGCTGTCTTTAATCATGATGATCCCAACGTTTTTGCCACACTGTTCCACGCCAGGCACTTATGGAGTGATCTACTTGCTGCTGAACATAATGCAGGTAAGTCTATTCTGCTTCCTCCTTCTGCTTCAGCTGGGTCTTTTTGGTCCCCCCTTTACGTCGGAGTCCTAACTTTTCAATAAGTTGTGATGGGGCTTTTAAAAAGGGAAAGGCTGCTATTGGGGTTGTTGTTTGGGATTCGACTGATTCTTTTGTGGATGAGATTGGTAAGATGGTCATGGCATCCTCCAGCCTCCAAGCAGAAGCTATAGCAGTCAGAGAGGCTTGCCTTTTTGCGAGCGCTGCACAACTCAAGCATTCTTGTGTTGAGAGTGACTGTCAAGTGGTTATTAAACTTTCCTCCACCGAAGATGCTCCCTTGGGAAATCAAAGCTCTTATAGCGGACATTAGGTTTGTTATCAGTCATTTTCATCTTAGTTTTTTATACAAGCCAAGAGCCCTCAATAGGGCTATTCACTGGGTTGCTGCAGCTGCGATGACCAATTCGCTAGCTGCAAATTGGGTCAGCTGCCCCCCCCCCCCCCCCCCCCCAACGAGTATAAGGGTTTTTTTTTCTTCTGTGTAATCGGAATTTTCCCACTTGAATGATTTCTCATTCTCCTTTTCTGATAAAAAAAAAAAATTTCTAGGATGGATGTTACACTAACATGCCTAAAGGTTTTGTAAAAATACGCTCCAAAATTGAGGTTTCTAAATATTACACTTGGCCCCAAATGATACCATTTTATAACATAATCTTTTGTCATTTACAATCTCATTATCTAGGTCTGCATTAGATATTTACGACATATGTTCAGATTCTCTATTACCAAAAAAGAAACATCAAAATTGCTTAAAATCAATCAAAATCAAATTAATACCATTGGTGGGAAGTTAAGCCCATAACATCTTACCTTTCCCCCCAGTTAGATCTCAATAGTTTGGCCAAAAGACCCAAAAATTTTATTAAAATCCCACATCAATTAAAAATAAGATTCTTGGGTATCTTTTCTTTACAAACCGATTTTAAGGGACAAGTTCTATACATAGGTTCGTAACAAAATTCCTCCCCGATCCCTTTAAATCTTAACCCTCCCCCGCCCCACCTTCAACACCATCCTTGTATGAACCATGCCTCAACTGTGAACGACAGGAGGGAGAGAGATAGAGATTTGAGTATGCTTGTGTCTGTGCTAATTGTTGGGATGTTCGTGTTGGCGAATTGTCCCTTTTTTTTTTTTTGTTGTTGGGGGGAGGGGAGGGGGGTTGTGTGCTAGATTTGAGGTTGTAGCTAGGCCGGTATACATTGAGTTGGACACAACCGGAGTAATGAAGTTCATTTTTTTTTCATAATGCATCGACTAATGGAGGCAAACGAGTAATGGAGCAAAGCCTTGGAGAAAGAGTCGGTGGTTTGTGCGTATAACCAACAAGAAGGACCAACCCCAGAACCGTATTAAACAAACACCGCCTGCCAGTGCCAGCCTGTGAATTAAAGGAAAATATTTGGAAGCTCCAAAGTCCAACAATGGCAACGTGCTGTGGTCTGACGTTCAAATATTGCTTGATTCAAGCATTCAGTAATTGGGGTTTGACTTTGTTTGGCAATTCCAACTTGCTTGAAAAATGACTATCTTAATCATTTTGTGATAGTTGTCATGCAAATATTTTGGTAGAACTAGCATTGGAAAAGGAAAAATAAAATATATAATATAAATGGATTTGTCGCCATTCCTCAATTTCTGCTCGAAACTGGGAAGGAAACAATTGCAATTGGTTTGCGAAGTTTCATACTCTTTTGCAGCACATGTCGTTTCTGCATGAAACTAGGATTCTGGTATCAACTTGTAGTAGTATATCCAAAAACTCGGCTACAAAATCAGAATTATATATTTCATTGGTTGACTATTTGTACTTGTGGTACGTAAAATATTTAATTTTAGTCATAACTTCTGATTTGGGATAACCGAACTTGTCACCACAGTACCACAGAGGATAAGCTCGACATTCAACCCTCTCCAACAGTATCAGAGTTTATAGGGACTACTACTGATAATAGATTCGAATTCATAACCATTAAAGGAGGATGAGACTTACACCCCCTACTAAAATCAACTAGGCTACCACCTCAATTAACTTTTATAAATAGCCATTTTGAGGAATCTTGGTGTAACAATAATTTTGTTTTATTGTGATTTGAAAGTCACTGATTTGATTTTCAAAAATAATTTGTGCGTGTGACTTTCTACGTGTGTAGAGAAGTTACACATTAAATATAATGTTACTACTTGTAAAGACAAAATTATTACTCTTGAAATAAAATTATTATTTTAAAGGTGAGGTACAAACTCTTTAGATAAAGTTACAATAATTGAAAATAAAATTACTATCTTTGAAAGTGAGGTTATAACCATTTGAGGGTAAATTACATTCTATATAGGTAAAATTATCATCTTTAGATGTTGGAATACAACTTTTTGATGTAAGATTATAATTATTTATGGTAAAATTACTACATTTGGATATGAAGTTATAACTATTTAAGATTAGATTAGATTCACTAAAGATAAAAATATCACCTCTAAATGTAAGGTGAGCTTACAACCTCTTGAGATGAGTTTACAACTTTTTAAGGTAATGTTATTACATTTTATAGGGAGGAGGATTCATAACCACACCTTTTTGACAATACAATACTACTATTTGACTAGGCGGTACCATAGACTCTCGCTTATATCTATTAGTTACAATCCATACGCAAATTTATACCCAGTTGGTTGTGGCTCCCCCGTTTACCGTCCTTGTGAGAAGACAAGCACCAACATACAGAAAAATATTTATATAACGTTAATATTGTCATATAATATAATCGCTTAATAATAAATAATGGACAAATGAATCTCACTTTTTGAATATATAACAAGAGCAATGTCATGCTTATAAAATTTCTTACCAAGTTATTCATTTCAAGTGACGTGACACAATTTTTATTATTGAATATTAATAAGATCTATTTATTTGATAGTGAAAAATTGTGACACATCATAAGAAATCTCGATTAGCATCTCATTGTTGATGTAGCAATTATTTGAGATATAAAATTTGATAAGAAATCTTTGTCAGCGTAATATTGTTAAGCAAGAGTTACTATCTTAAATGTAGGGGTGATTATTTGAATGAGTAGACCCATTTTATCCATTTGTTTGTTTATTATTTGGCAATTACATCACATGATAATGATGATGTAGTGTAATAATTTAATCCAATATTTATCCATATGGATAATGCTATTTACATCTAATTTACTGACCTAATAATGTAATTTGATTGAAACTATTGAATTAATACCAAATTTTAATATTTAATGAAACCTACAATCAATCAAAATATCATAATAAATTAAGTCAATAAATTAGATGTAATAACATTACTCTTATAGATAAGAATGATTTGAGTACGCTGTAATCGTTTGATTCATATAAATAAAATAACACACAACTCACCAACTTGCCTCCCCTGCTAATGGCCAAAGAATTGCATTGAATCGAAGTATGAGATCTACGCGTTTTCAAAATAGCCATGCAAGTTGACTTTGAAGAATGCAAATTATTAAACACTTCATCATTCTCCATCTTAACAAGAATCAAACCCACATCAGCTTTCCCTCTGCTATATATATATGTATATGCTTCTAATGGTCCTAACCCTCAAAACACATTCATCAAATTCTCCTTTCGCTTCTCGAAACCATGGCTTCTCAGATTTTCTGCTCTTCTTCTACTAAATTTCTCGTTCTTCTTGTATTTTCAGTCTTGTGCTCTGTATCCTTTTCTGATGTTCTTCCTTCTCCAACGGCTCCCGTCTCACCCTCAACCATATGCAAGTCCACACCCTATTATTCTTTTTGCAAAGCAGTGCTCCCAAGTAATAATTCCTCGGCCAATGTCTATGACTATGGTCAGTTTTCCATCAGAAAGTCCTTGTCACTTGCTCGTAAAATTTTATCGTTAATCCAAAAAACTCTTAGCAACTCTTCCAAATTGACAATCACAGCAGTCCGTGCTCTTGAAGATTGTCTATTTCTGGCCGAGCTGAACATTGATTTTCTATTAAGTACTTCCAATTCTGTCAATACTACCACCATAACCCTCTCTACATTGCAAGCCGACGAAGTGCGAACTTTGCTTAGTGCCCTTTTAACCAACTCACAAACTTGTTTAGATGGTCTTCAAGCTGCATCTTCGGCTTGGAGTGTAAATAATGGTCTCCTTACACCTCTTGCTAATGATACAAAGCTGTATGGTGTTTCTTTAGCATTGTTCAAGGCTTGGGTCCCTAAAAAGAAAAAATTACCACCTCACCCTGCTAAGAAACAGTTGGCCTTCAGAAATGGTAAATTGCCCTTGAAAATGTCGAGCAGGAACCAAGCAATTTACGAGACTGTGAGTAGGAGAAAGCTTCTTCAAGCAGAGAATGATTTTGTTCTAGTGAACGACATTGTGATCGTGACCCAGAATGGGTGGGGGAACTTCACAAACATCAGTGCTGCTGTAGCTGCAGCTCCTACCAACACCAATGGTACCACTGGCTACTATCTGATATACATTACTGCCGGTCTGTATCAAGAATATGTATCCATTGGCTCGAAACAGAAGTACATTATGATGATTGGCGACGGTATCAACCGGACCGTGATCACCGGCAATCATAGCGTTGTTGATGGGTGGACTACATTCAATTCTCCAACATTTGGTAAGTACCACCAACTTCGTATAAAAACACACAAACAGTTTAGTCCTCATTAACGGGAATTGAAAAAAAAAAACATTTTCACAAGTTATAAGCAATTTAGATTGTGGAAGAGTATTAATTCTCATTGTTTTGTTAATTGCATTTTAATCAGAATCCCCATCTGTTTCATATTTAACGTTGCAGCTGTGGTAGGACAAGGATTTGTTGCAGTGAACATAACGTTTAGGAACACAGCCGGGCCTATCAAGCAACAGGCCGTGGCAGTTCGAAATGGGGCCGACTTATCTACATTCTACAGCTGCAGCTTTGAAGCGTACCAAGATACACTCTACACACATTCTCTCAGGCAATTCTACAGAGAATGCGATATCTACGGCACAGTGGACTTTATATTTGGCAATGCCGCGGTGGTGTTCCAAAACTGCAACGTTTATCCGAGGCTGCCATTGAGCTATCAGTTCAATACCATCACTGCGCAAGGTAAAACTGACCCGAACCAGAACACAGGCACTTCAATTCAGAACTGTACTATCCGAGCAGCCAATGATTTGGCTTCAAGCAATATCTCTATCCAGACATACCTAGGAAGACCATGGAAAGAGTATTCAACGACCATTTATATGCACTCTTTCATGGATAGTCTGATCAATCCACTAGGGTGGGCACCATGGTCTGGAGATTTTGCGCTAAATACATCATATTATGCAGAGTTCAATAATTCGGGGCCTGGATCGAACACTTCTGGTAGAGTGACATGGCCCGGTTACCACAATAATATTAGTTCCACCAATGCTACTAATTACACGGTAGGTACCTTCCTACTGGGGGATGCTTGGTTACCTGAGACCGGAGTGCCATATACATCAGGCTTGATATAACCAACACCTTAATTTGACTTAACTCTTTCTGATCTTTAATTCTTGTGATTGTTTTAGTAAAGTAATAAGCATGTAAACTCAAGCATTCTCAATGAGATATGCTTGGAATCACTCTTTTTATGCATTTTTAAAAAATAAATAAATTGAGGAAGTGCCATTATTTTTCACTGTCCATACGTCATTCACATTTTGCTGATTTGCTAGGGTTGTTTACTTTCCATTAAGGCAATGAAAAACACAAACAATGTCTGGTTCATTTTACTTGATGTTGATTTAATGATTTTTATGAAACTACATCATGATGCTAGTAAACTAGGACAAATTTTTAAATTCAAATAGTATTACTCAATTTATTTCTACCTTAAGATTGAATGTGAGTCCTATCAAACATGGAAACTTGCTCGTCATCCAATAATTCTAAGGGGTAAATTACACTTTACCCTCTTGAACTATTAGCTTAGTTTTACTTTACACCCTCAACTATAAGATTTTTTATATTACACCATAAAATATCAATTTTATATTATATCACTCCAATTGATAAAAAACGTCAATTTGTTGACGATAAATACTCATTTGAATGGTCAGTATTGTCAATAAGCAAAATTGTCTATTGCTAAGCTTTAGAATTTCTTCCTCTAGCTGATCTTCTTTTTCTTCTTAACAATCATTTGGTTGTAAAAGATGAAAAATAAAGTGGTATTAGGCACTTGGCAGAAAGTTCTTTGGGGTTACTCCCTTTTTTGAAAAAATTTAAAGTTTGTCGTTATATATTAGAGTGATATGAAACAAAATTGATACTTTAGGGTATAATATGAGAAATTTTATAGGTAAGGGTGCAAAGTAAAATAAGGGTAATAGTTCAAAAGGGTAATTTACTCTAATTCCAATGAAGTTACATAATTAAGTCAGCAAATAAAGTTTAATTTGTATAATCAAATAACATTACTTATCAAAAAAATAGTCATGTAATTTTGATTTTTGGGTTATGTTTGTGAATTTGAACACATCGCAATTAATAAACAAATTTAGTTAGTACCATGTCGCAATATTAAATTCAACATGATGAGAACGAAAATAGGGACAAGATCCCCCCCCTTTTTTTTTTGATCAAACACTAACGACTTACTCTATCAGACTAAGGGTCAGTGAAGACATTATATATTATTCATACACCCAAAGACAAGATCCCCTTCAATACATGCTTTCTCTTTGAACAATATTATTTATTTATTTATTTTTGGGAGGGGGAAGGGAGGGGTGAAGAGGGCTTGAGTAATATAGCCTTTGGATTGCATGTGAGTTCCATCAAATTTAAAATTTAGTATTAATCCAATAATTTCAATGAAGTCACATCATTAATTCAACAAATAGGTCAAATTTTTTGGTCTGAATAGCATTACCTTTTCTTTATTTCTTTTTTTATTTGGTAAAATATCTATTAGGTATTAATAAGAGATCCACTTATAAATAACAATGTTATTAGAACATAATTTAAGGAGATAATTTGGAGACTTAATGATTGTGGCATTTGGATTGTCAGTTGGTTCCAGTATTGAATGCACTCCACTATTAATCCAATTGTTACAATACATTAAGTCCTTATATTATGTCCATAAATTTCCAATAGCATTAATGCATAAGTAATGAGTTCCACTTGACTTCATAGTAAATAATTTATTAAATAAAAAATAAAAATATATATTATAGTGAATCTCAACCCACTTGAAAGGTAACGGGTGTGAGGTTAATTTAAATTTTTTGGTAGTAGGAATGACAGTGAATTAAGAAAAATAGAGATTTTTGTCCCATTTGGACTGGAAATAAATCATATATATTAAAGAAATGAAGTATACAAGAGTACTCATATAAACCCATAAAAAGATTGAGACAAGTATGAACTGACACTTATCGCCGTCATGTTTTCACTCCGATATACCCCAAAATATATATATATACTCCCAAGTGCCAAATCACTCGCCCCTAATTCACTCTTTATTGCTTCTACCGCCCACTACATCTCTCATTTCAGCCCTTTCTCTCTCTAGGGGTGCAACTTGGGTTGGACAACCCGATTTCAACCCGAGTCCAATTAAAAAAAATTAGGATTTGAGCACGGATTTTTAATACTTGGGTTAAAAAATTCCAACCCGAATTTAATTTGGGTTGGGCTCGGGTTAAGGCCTCGGGTTTAGGGGTTCAACCTGAACCCGACATATTAAAAAAAAATGTATATATGTATATAAAGTGTTAGCACTGATTTTTCATTTTTGTTCTATCGTTTTCTGTTTCTCTCGTTCATTTTCATTTTTGTTCTAGCATTAGCACTGTTAAAAACTTGGTTGAAGTTATTGACTGTTAATTTAAGTGAATATTATGTAATATATGTATTAGATTTAGAACAACAAGTCTATTTTGGGCTCTACTAGAACTCAACCTGAATTAAATCGGTATAGAAACCGAAATCAGTCTGGAATCATTAACCCGAATTCAACCCGAGCCCGCTCGTTCCTCAATCCGAGATAGGGTTAGGGTTAGGATTATGATTGAAAATTATATACTTAAGGTTAAATTAGGGTTGACTGTGCAACCCGTCCGAATTGCACCCCTATCTCTCTATCTCCCTCTCCCTCTCTATCCTTTCTTTTAGAGACGAAAGAAGAACTGAAATAACTCGATAGAACTAAAACACCCGAATCCAAGTCCATCATGTCCTTTAACAGATTTGAGTTCTCACTCTCATCCTTTATCTCTGTCAGATTGTTTGGTTACTGAGAAAACTAAGAAATTAGATATTAGATTATTTGGTTGCTGAGTTCTTACTCTCTTCCTCCGTCAAGAAGATGTCCATTATAAATATTTAATTAGTATTGAATCTTTGTTGTTTGTGTCATGTTAGATTATGTTATGTTATATTTTTTTGTATTAGATTATGTTGTGTTGGATCTATATGAGAGATAAATTTTTAATTATGTTATATTGTATTATGTTGTAGACAAAATTTTTAATTATATTATGATATTCTATAATTATGTTAGATTATGTTGGGCTTGACTTAACTTAACTTGACTTGGGCTTGGGCTTTGACAAGGTGAAGGTGGGGAACAGGTGGCGAGACAGGGATTAGAACTTATCCAACAAACAGGGATGATAATGAAATTATTTCATTAACAAGGATAGACAAAAGATGAACGGAATTTTGTTAAGCCACAATATTATATTCACCATATTTTTTACTAAATTTTGAATCTCAAATCAATATAAACCATAGTATGGAGACTATTCTCCCGCCGCTTGGCACCGCTAGATTCCACTGCCATCCCTACTTGGCAACCCGGAGAGAACCTAACGTTACATTACATATAGAGACGTTATTGTATTTACATGTAACGAGGTTAGATGAAATTTATTTTTTATCTAATAATTATAACTAATTTAATCCTTACATTAAATTCTAAAATTAAGTACACATACACAGATTACTTGCTCAATAAACAAAAAAAAAAAAGAACGACACAGACCACCCAACAAAATTGTACATGCGCCACGACAACAAAAATAAGAGCCACGTGCACAGTGACTTCTCATCACCTGTGTCGGTACTTTGCTGTCTAGTACTGCTCTATTACTAGTTTACTACTACTAGATGCTCAAAATCTCTTTAATGATCGAACCGGTTCACCCGGTTGTTTAAACCCGTTACCCTTCTTCGACTCAAGATCCATCTCATCTGAAGCCTTCGGACCCTTCTCTGTCACTGGGACCTCCACGGTAATACCCATTAATCCCGGAGATTTGCTCCGATAATTCTCTGGTGGAGAAGTAGAGAACATTTGGTTTTCGGCCCTCCTACTAGTCGGGGATAAACCAGAATTTGACCCGGATTCCGAACTGGGCGATTCCAGAATTAATACAACAGTTTCAAGAGGGTTTTCGGTGACCTGAACCGGATTGTCGATGGGTTGAACTGGGGCTCTGCAGAGTGGGCAGCTGGAGTGAGAATGAAACCACATGTCTATGCAGTCTATGTGAAAGCAGTGGTTGCATTTGGGTAAGACCCGACCCATATCGTTGTTTTCCAACTCGGATAAACACACGGCGCATTCTAGCGGAGGGCCGTGGGTTTTAGAGACGTAGAAAATGGGGAGAGATTTGAGGACGGAGGGTTCCAGCCCTTTACTACTACTGCTGGTGGTGGTATTATTATGGTAGGAGGTGAGGGCTAAGGGGTGGGCCTGGCGGAGGTGGGGTGAGCGACGGAGGTGGAACCAATGAGTGTACATGAAACAGACTATGATGGCGAGAACCAGTAAGAGAACAAGAATAGAGATCATCAACATAACCTTTCCACTGAATTCAAAGCTAGTTGGATCACAATCCCTCGCAAGCCCTGTTGCGTTGTCATCCTCCATGTGTGTGTGAGAGAGAGAGAGGCTGGGGGTAGTATGAGTTGAGATAGAGAGAGGAGAGGCAGGTGGTTTAAATGGGAAATGTTGTCTTGAAACGGTGAAATAGAAGAGGAAGGTTCCCAGTAGCTGTATGTGGATCAGCTTTATGGGTTTCTCACACCTTTTTAAGTGTGTAAAGTGGCGGGCTGGTGCTGCTTTGCCTTCCCTGCTGCTTTGTATAATGTATTATGTATTTATCCTACTTAGTCGGACCTTTATAAGGGAGAAATGGATGCTGCTGTCAATGTTTGTACCTTATCATGAAAAGTTACTTCCATCCCCGACTTTCTTATAATAATACCGTGTCTTTTGCCAAAATTTCCAATAGCTTCAACAATTTTGAATTAAAAAATACTTGAATGAAAATAACGCTTGGTGTTCGAAAAGTTGTCAAATTTCTGAAGTATTGTGTAAAACAGATAGTCCAGTGCAAAAGCGCTCACCATTGCATGATCATTGGAGAATCGATGTTGCGGACATATTTATACTTTTAGAGAGCTTTTTTATTTGTTTGTTTTTTTTTTTAATTATGTTGTTCAGATCGGTTTATGCGTACGTCGATTAATCTCTTTCTTTGTTCGACTAAAGATAAACTATCCACGTCAGGAGTACAATATTCATAAAGGATATCCGCTTAAAAGTAAATTATCTACGTTGAAACTAGGGTATTTATAAAGAATAAATTCTTCATAGTCTAATCGTAAAAGTGTCGTTAAAATTCAAATTCATGACGTTTGATTTTATAGCTCATCCTTATTATCATTTGAACTATCCCTAAAATTTCATAGAGTTTGATTTCACTACTCAAAAACAAGGCTGTGAACCTATCTTAACAAATACACCAAAGTTTGTCTTCAATGATTTGGTACAAGATAAAAAAATCCACCATTTTCTAATCCTATAATGAAGTTGAAACTTTCACCATTTTGTAATTTTCTCTAAATCATTTAATAATTTTAGGATCTAATTCAATAGAATCATTAGATTGAAAGTGAGCTTCATCTAATATAGAAACTCACAATTAACTCAATGATCGCATTGGATTAAGTTTTTAATTAGGTCCCTATAACATTACTTTTTATAAGATTGGTGTTAATTGGACATAAATTTGTGATTGAGTGGTATTTAGAAAGAAGATTATTCCACCCCAAAGGGTAATTCAAGTGGTTATAGAGTACCAATGACCCTTTGATTCAATGATATTTCTTGTCTTGTAAAAGTTTTGTCTTCTTGAGATTAAGGATTCAAGTCCGCCTCCTCTTTCCTTTCCCCTCCCCCTCCCCCTCCCCTCCCCCTCCCCCCAAAAAAACAAAAGTGGTTACAGAGACAAGTTAGAAACACAAACGTTTGATTTCAAATTTTGGTAATGTCTTAGAGTCAGATCATGAAGGATTCATCTTTAATGAATACCCTAGTCCCGATGTAGATTGCATTCTTTTAACCGGACTAAAGAGTAGATTAATCAAAGTACATCTAAGTTTATCCGGACACCCTTACCCATTCAAACAAAAGAAAGAAAAAAAACTGTTCGGCTACAAACCTGATGCTGTCTTGAAAGAAGTCTATTAGGTAAAATAGTAACCAAGTAAGTGTCATACAGGTCTGTTAAGAGACCTCCTCTTTACAAATTGTACCAATCTAGTTTTAAAATTGTTTAGGTAGTTCTCTTTAATTTCAGTAAACCACGAGGGAGGCGAATAAATTTTCTCATTTCAGGGGGTACCGAAACATGGTACAGCCGAAAACAAACTTGGCATGAAGTGGAATGGAATTGGATTGGCATGATATGTATGACCTTTGTGAGAAAGGAGAATACGGATCCAATCAAGGGGCCAAGTTGCGGTGGAGATGGAATAAAGCATACTGAGATGGTGCCCCCAGTAATCGTCCAAAGTTGGTAGAAGTCATTTCGAGCTGATCAATTGTGTAGACCTAGTGGATACTCATGAACTTGAATAGGAATTTCAACCCAAGTTTGCAATCCTAAAATCACATACAAATTGAATTTGGTTTTAATCTTGAATATTGATCCAAATTTCGACAAAAAATTGTAAAAA